GAGGGAATTGTGATTCTTTACAAATCGGTCATATGTATTGGTTTCAAGCCACACCATCTTAATATTCTTTGAACAACTGCAGGTTGTCCTTGGCGAAGAGAGGTTCCATGGGATAGCCAGCATGTCATTTGGTATCACATTGACGAGACCTGTATTGATGTTTAACGAAAAAGCCATTCTTTCACTGTTTGCAGGTTTGTTTCTCAGTCAAGTTAATAAATCCCTTTCCGAAACAAACTGTACTTTGATTCCATTTCATCATTTGTGATCCTTGGTTGCTTCGACTTACTGTTCAGGTGATTCAAAAAGTGCACATAATTTGCAAACTTACCTGCTATCAAGAGATCATTCGAAGTTGAAGTCTGAGTTTCAAGATGGATATAGAAAGGTTTGATCGAGTTACAGTCCTTCTTTGATTTAGTTAATGGTGGAAATGTGCACATTCATTATTTTCTCCTGTTGCAGAAAATTGTTGATTCAATTGATCAGCTACCTGCTGTGGAAGTGGTTCTTGGTGAACATGTTTTTCTCACTGTGGGGGACTATAACCTTGCTGGAAAATCTTGACTAATTTCGTTCCAAGAATTCCTTTTTGATCTTCTATGGAGTTTGCAAGATTAGGAGCACAGAATATGCTCAGGCATGCCTAATTGTAATGGGCGAGCAATTGACAATCATTCTTTTTCTGTATAGCGGATCTCACGTCTTATTTATAAGATAAAAACAGGTGTCTTGATGTAATCCTTGATAATTTATCTAAATGATTTTTACACACTTAATTTCTTAGATTGGTTTATTTTCACCTGCACAAGAGTAGTTTCGGCAGTTTTCTCAGTTGGATAGGGAGGTGCTCCTTGGTTGTCTTTTGAATATGGTAGCATTAATTTAGCTCATGATGAACTCGTGTTTGTATTAATTTAGCATTATTGTTGAACTTATTTCAATGTCATAAATACAAGATTAGTTCCCATTATTATAAGGTTGGAAGGGGTGGTTGGTTGGTTCAATATTGGACTGGGACAAAATGAACTAGATTGATCTGAATTGTTAGTAAATCAAAAAGTAGTTTTTTTAATTGAACTGAATTTAGATGAATTTAATTGAATTATTTTTTGTTTTATCAAAGTACATTGTGGTTAAATTTGGTTAAATTTGGTCAAATTTGATTGATTAGATTGAATTTGGCCGAATTCTCATTAGGACTGATTGGTCAAATTTGAACTAATTCTGTGGGGACTAACTCAACTTTGTGTGGATTAACTTAGCTGAATTTGGTTGTGATTGACTTGATTTAATTTGACTAAATTTTGGTTGATAGATTCAGACAAATTTAGTTAAATTTTAATTATTTAGCTAAATTTTTGTTTATGATAAACTCGAGTTTAACTAAATTTTGTAACGAGTCTACTGAGTTGAATTTCGACTTGGCCGATTAGATATTTCATTTCTCTTTATCCTGAAGCAACGATTAGAAGAAAAACTTACTTTGCATTGTTGGTCTGACTGAACTTCCTATTTGGTTGAATATTTAATATTGATTGGTAGCCGTAAAATAATTTATTGGTGAGGCAGTCAATTACGATCTTAATTACATGCTACAAATTTGAATTTATTAATCAAATCAAGGAGCGAGGAGATAAAACATCGTGAGTTATGCAATTAAGAGTATGGGACGAAACCCGTACAGAATGAATTCATGACTTAATTATTAAAAAAAATTAGAAATCTTGTTACATACACACCTTTTAAAAGAAAAAAAATTGTCACTAAATAAAATTAAAAAAGTAAAATTATATTTCAAAACTCCGTCGAATTTCACAAGACTAGATTTGAACAACCTAAATTCCTATTTGAATAAAACTCTTCGTTTCTTGGAATAGTGCTTCTTATGCAACATTTTTAGATCAAAATCCATATTAAAAAAATGTGACACCTTTAAAATAAAAATAAAACAAAGATAAAAACAGAAAATGAAAACGCTGGTAAACACCCCTAAAGTTTTATTCAAATTTAAACTACAAATGTTGATCTCAGAGAGAACACGGTGATAACCCATTTTAGAGGATCTTTTTGAAAAATCTCCAACAACCTACCAACCAAAAAAAGGCAATAATCACTAGAAAAGAGTCACTTTTTTAGACTGAGGATGCAGAAAACTGTCAACTTTTACTCCACTCGTTAATTTTATGCTTGACAAAGCCTAGTTATGGCAAAAATAAATGTTTTCAACATTTATGTTTAGTTCTTGGGAGTTCATGTCGTCAAATATGAGTATAGACGACGAGCTCAATGAAACCTAACATCAAGTACATGCTTATTAGCAGTAACAGAGGCTGAAGGATCGTAGATTGACCAGCTCAACTAGAAGAAGCTGCTTCCTTATAATCTTCTGTCTCACTAGTTTCACCTTCATTAAAGCTTGGAGCTTTTGGTAGAAGTCCAAGAACTTTGAACATGAGTTGATCAGCATCAAAGTCATTGTTAGGTGTAGTGAGAAGCTTTTCACCAGTGAATATGGAATTTGCACCAGCAAGAAAACACAATGCCTGTTCAGGCATGGAGAACCGGACTCTGCCAGCAGATAGCCTGACCATTGATTTTGGCATTATTATACGTGCTGTGGCTATCATGCGAATCATCTCCCATATTTCAACAGGCTGAAAATATTGCAGATAGGTCATATAGACAATTCAAATCAATGTGACAGCAGTTTGTGTAAAAACTGGTATATGTGACACAAGATTCACTAGGTTTCAAGCAAATCCTGATCATGCATCACTCGTAACATGATCTAAAAGCAACCCTAATACCTACTTACAATAATACAACTTTGATCTCTGCTTGTTAGTTGATATTATTCATTGCAATTACATCCTACACAAGGAAACATTTTTTATTTTATAAGTTAAAAATTTTAAAAACAAGCTTTTTGTCCTCCTCACTTATAAACTCAATCTGAAATTAAGAACAATAAGGTGATTGACATTTATTTGCTATTAGTTTAGTTTAATAATTCAACTATTTCATGAATTCACCTTTTGATTCTCAAGTGGGGTTCCCTTCACAGCAACAAGTGCATTAATAGGAACACTCTCAGGATGGGTGGGAAGTGTTGACAATGTATGTAACAAACCTACACGGTCCTCCTCTGCTTCTCCAAGTCCTATAATTCCTCCTGTAAATAATTTTCAGCAAGTCAAACCATTATAAGAAAGATAACCCTCCTCATTGCAATGAGATATTTTACTGCATATAGTGTACCATATATTCATCACTAATAATGGATGGCACAATCATTGTCTAATTGATGAGAAAAGATAAAATGTAAATTCAGGTTGGTTTTGAATAGATACAAAGCAAAACAATCAGATTTGATACCTAATGATATCATGGCTGAGTCGTTAAATAAATATTGGTCCCCCTAAGATACTCGCTTTAAGGGAAAAAGATAGAAATTGTGACATAAAATCTGTATAAAAGATAGTTATAGCATTGAAGTTCATTACACATCATTATACTGCTGTGGATCTCTTTTCTCAAGTAACTATAATGTCACGAAAAGTAAACAAAAGAAGGTATTAAGATTCACTCCAAACTTGAAATACTATCATAAACAAATCCTCAAGCCACTTAGATAGTTCTGATTCGCACCTTACTCAATTAATCTATAAATAAAATACATATAATTGGCTATACATTTTTCAAATTTACAAAGACAAATCTAACATTTTGAATTGTTTTTATTCCCAAAAAAGCAATCAATTTGAAAAGCAGTGAAAAAAAGACTTCATAAAGAATGAGATGTTATGATTCTGGAACAGAGAAAGAACAAATGCTTATAAATAAAATGGTCAAGCTTCAACCAGTCAATATATTATATTCATGTTGATGAACTTAACTATAAGTTATAACAAATTACTAATAAGTTTCATAACACTTTTAAGTTAATATAATTACCAGAACAGACATTGATCCCTGCATCACGAACAAACTCAAGTGTTTTTAGGCGCTCATCATAACTCCTTGTTGTGATGATGTTTGGATAATATTCTCTTGAGGTGTCAAGATTGTGATTATAGGCAGTGAGACCTGCCTTCTTGAGTTCAAGAGCCTGCTGTTTCTCCAGCATGCCAAGGGTACAACAAACCTCCATCCCCATTTCCCTGGAATAAGACAGATAGCCTAAGTGTTATCATTTTCACGGAAGAAATAAACTATATTTCATTTGGACTAATAAGTAAAACATTCAGCATACTTTTCAGTCACCACCAGCCTTTTATTTATGTATTTAACAAACAAATCCTCTTAAGACTTATGTGCCAATCATTCTGTAGAAAAACTGACAAATAAAATGATGTTGCATTACCTAATGTCTTTCACATATTCAAGGATTTGGTTGAAGTTGGTCTTTCTTCCCAGTGTATCTCTCCACGCAGCACCCATACAAAAGCGAGTGCTCCCAGCCTCTTTTGCCTGCAGGAAAAGGATTATCCGTTCAAGAAAAAAAGAACGGCACCATAAGAACAAGACATACGAAGTAAAGAAATGTTTGAAATGAATACATAACACTTACCCTTTCCATGATGTCATTTGAGAGGAAGATTCAAGTTTTACAGATATCAATAATGTCATCACAAGACCAAATACTAGAGATCAATAATGACATATGAGAAAAAGTATACCCGCTTTGCAGACTCTAGAACAGCTTCCTTGTTCATAAGGCGTTGGCCCTTGATTCCGGTATTATACTTAGATGATTGAGGACAATAAGAACAATCTTCACTGCACCCTCCTGTTTTGATAGACAGAAGAGTACATTGCTGAACTTCCCTGAAGTTATGCGCATGTCTGTGAACTTGAGCCTGACAAACCAAATCACCCCAAAAATAGAAACAACGTATTGATAAATGTACAACAAGTTTGTAAGACGAGACAGCTGAGAATGTTCAAATTACAATCCAATAAAAGGTAAAACAATAGGTCCAACACTATCTTAAACTTTAGACTAGTGCTTATCTCACCCCAAAAATTAGCCCACAGAACAATGGTCGCCCCAATTATATTCATTATTTCACAATATCAGTAGTGAATACGAAATCATTGACACATATTTTCAACATAAATAATGGAAATTTTCACCATAAATAATGGACTTCCCCTATCAACGTAACAACTGAAAACAAGAACAAGAACAAAAACAAAAAAAAGATTTTTTGCCGAAACCCATTAAAACAAATTAGAAGGAATTACCCCGTGAAAGAGAAGATCGAAAATGGGAGAGTCGTAGATGGATTTGACTTCGTCTCGGTTCCAATCGTTTCTTGGCCCATCTTTGATGGTTCTCTCAGCTTGAACTGCAGCCGCTGAGGCAGAGAAACAAGCATGGGAAGAGTGCAACGCCCAGAGGGAGGGTCCTCGGAAAATGGGTCTCACCAAAAACATGTTTTTGCTTTGGAATTCAAAGATGGGCAATACAAATCTCAGTTTTAGCTCCAACGACAACAGAAGAGAGAATGTAGATCGAAAAATATTATAGAGATCTGCTAATATTAAGAGGTCGGAAAGAACAGAGAAGAAGTTTTGCTTTGGTTTTGGTTTCCTTAAAAATTGGGACTCCGGAGTTTATAGTGTGAGTGTTTGTTTGGCGGCCTTGAGTGCTGACTCATTCCCTCTCTCTTCCAACTACAGAGGGAGCAGTAGTTGCCACTGCACCTACCTCACCCTATTATTTAAACTATTTTTTTTTTTACATTGGACGCTAAATTAGGAAAAATATAAAGAAAAATATAAAGAAAAATATGAGAAAACAAAAAGTAATTATTTCAGAGCTTACAAATAGCGTGACCAAGTTAAAATATAACTACAAAAATAAAGAAAATAATTATAAATTTCATTTTTATATTTAAATCTATGATTAATTGGATTTTTATATTTTTATGTTAAATTAACGTTAGCTTCCATTTGAGAGATGTTATTTATTAAAATTATAAATATATCCAATATCAAACCGTTTAAAATATATTATGTATCAAAATATAGAAGAAATAACTTACCAAAACTGAAGTATCTAACAATAAAATATGATCTAAATATTAAGATAAGACATGTCTCTGATGTTAACATCAATTTAATGTAATCAAATTAATTTTATTTAAGATATATTTAATTGAGTAAAAAAATGTGACTAAAATAAATTAAATATGAAATCTAAATTATTAATTAAGAAAAAAAAATATTGTGTAAAGGTACTTGAATCACTTTTTTTAAGTGAAAAATATTTTTTGTAAGTAAAGATTGAGTTTTAAAAAAGAATTTATTTAAAGAAAAAAATTGTAAAAAACAAAAAAAAAATATGGACCATGTATGCATTTTAATCATAAATAAATTTTGAACAGCGTAGATCTATGTGAGGAGCGAGGTACGCATTGCAATTTCTAATTTTCTGATAAAACTAATAATATTATCAAGAAGACAGACACACCTGTGTAATAAGGGGGTGAGTTACGTACGATTAGGTTTTCTTTTCGCTTTCTGATTCGATCGATTTCGATTGTTGAATTCGTCTCATCGCAGAGCCTTTAAATTTATAGTTGTATGTTGCTTGGACTCGATCTGAAGCTGATCGATCAAATGTATCACGCGATCTAACTTCGATTGTGGTTTGAGTTGCAGGAGCAACGATGGTGGTGCCGCTGCTTAGTGTTTTCATTCTTCTTGCTTTTATTCCAAATGGATTGTTAGCAGTTCCTTCAACCGTTCCTGCATTCCTTTGGTCATCACATTATGAACTGTAACTCCTGATTCTTATTTTTTTTTTTCGTGTTTGCGTCAGTTCACAATTCGTACTAATTCGGTCATGTTTACTTGCTGTGTTCTATGCTGTAAGGTTCTTGTGGATGTGGATAATAGCAAACAGCTTAGGTTTAATTTAGTTATTGCGGAGCTTGTTATCGGCTTTTATGATTAGGACAGCGTAGGCCTCATCTGGAAGCTGGAGAATGGGGAATTTGGGTTTTGTTGGAAGGAGTTTGGGTATTCTACGGTTGTGTTGCAGTGTGGATAGCCTGTAGAACCCCATGTCCAAAAGGTTCTAGAAGAAGAAAATCAAGGGAGGAATTGAAGTAGTGAAAAAACCCACTGTTCATTTATAGATTTTTCACTGGCATTACACACGCGCTTTGGTTCACAAGTAGGAGATAGATTTTCTGGATCGTTCAAGAAAACAGCTGATGCGGTGTAGTTTAGGGCTTGAAATTTTGTAGTTTTGAAGTCTAGAGTGAGAAATGAAAGCAGTGGATAAGTGAAAAATATGAACAAGGATAAAACGAATAGTGTTGGTAAAATATGTAACATTTTCATTTAGTTCTTGTTGTCTTTAGTGGCAACTGATATCATCTTTAAATTGTATGATACTTCATGTGATTTATTACATGTAAGAATGAGTTTGTGTTTTGTTCTTGAATATTCCCTTATCGTGTTTACATATGTACTATAGCAAATAATAAAATCGTTTATATCTTACTGGACTGGACCGTTTCAGGGCCTCTGAATTTGGATTGAAGGAATCTGTAAATTACCAAGTCATTTCTCCTTATGATCTGGCAAAGTCTGTTATATCTGAAGCTGGCTGGTCAAATTTTCTGGTATTATCTTTATCTTCGTGATTGGTTTCTGACTATGTACTGTGCAATTCTCTCTCCCCTCAACCTTTATGAAGAAGAGGATATTTTTCTGTCCCTATTTATGATAGAGATAATCTTGTTCAATTTATTTCTATTGTTGTTGTTGCTTAGTGTTTTTAATTTTTATATATTTTTTATAGTGCAAAGGAAAGAATTTTGACAAGCCTCTGGATCTGGCACTTTTATTCGTTGGTAGAGAGGTAATATCTTTCAAGCTTCTATATAGATAATAGAGTTCATATTGCAGCTTATGTATTTATTGTTTACTTTGTATTAGATTCCTGCCAACTAGTGCAGCGGCATCTGTTGAGTAAACTATGTTGCATTTTTCTTTTGCAGCTACAATCTTCAGATTTAAGCATGAACAAACATTCAGACTCAGCCCTTTTAGACCTGCTCAAGGTGAGAGAATTGTGACATGCACTCTGTGTCAAGTTTTCATGTTGAGTGAATATGATTTGAGATTTCTAAGGCTATGTTTGGATCAGTCGTAGAGAATGGAATGGAATTAATCAAAGTATAATAGTGCGGAATGGAATAGATTAAAAATGTCATTCCATTTTTGAGTATTTTATAATAGAATGGATCAAATGTCCTATTCTATCATTTGAAAAAGAACGGAGCAGAATAAATTATTACTTTTATATTCTTATATTAACCCTGTCTTAGAAATATAAATCCTCAGCAGATGAGTTCTATGAGATTGGATTTTGCAGAATATGTTATCTAGTGTCAATGCCATCAAAACTTTTGCCATGCACCTTTGTATTTTGAACCCTCACTTCACTCTATATCTGTCACAACAGAAGCCCAACCAACCACCATCTCTATTGTGCTACTCACCATAAACCTCTTCCATGTGCCAACCTTAGACAACAAAACCCAATTGAACCCGAGTAGAGCCTAATCCTTATTAGGGTAGGGTCACAATCAAAATTGTAAACTCATCTAACCCGATTGTCACCTGATCTTCATTTCAACACTTTCTCACCACCAAAGTCAGAACTCATCCACATCTTCATTCTGTAATATTTGTATTTAGATAGAAGGGGTAAAAAAATGAATTGTTGCTAAAATAGACAGAGAGGATTGTTCCATTAGTGTACCCTAATATGAGGGGTGTAACAAGAAAGTCTCACATTGATGGAATTAGATGCATTGAACTCCATCACTTTCCATCCTATTCCATTATATAATTTATAGTCCATATACTGGAGTTTGGGTCTATTCCATTATATATTTTTACTGTGACACTGTTCCATTTTTATGAACAGAACTCTTTTGCCAGATCCAACACTTCTGTGGCGTTTCCCTATGTTTCTGCATCAGAGGATTTGCTTTTGGAGAGCACTTTGGTTTCAGGACTTTCTGAAGCCTGTGGAGATGGTACGGAAATTGCCAATGTTGCTTTCCATGGATCTTGCTCCGTGGGTGGTACAAATCATGAAGAAACCACAGCTTTGCACTCAATACAAGTAATCAACAAATAAATGTGACAAGGTCCATTGTGGAATCTTGGGTCCTGTAACGGTGACCTGATGCCCTTTATTTTCCCATTGACAGGACTATTTGACAAAGAGAATGGAAGATAGTCACAGGGGGAAAACAGATTTGGTTGTGTTCTGTAATGGGGGCTCTCAAGCTCTTAAAAATGTTGACAGGGCACAATCTGAAGGTAGATACACTTTTACCTATGTTATGGGTTTTGCTAGATATGAATTTGGTTAATGTTTGTGTTTGTAGGGGAAGTTTTATCCAAGGTTATCAGTTCCGTGGAGGAATCTGGTGCAAAATATGCTGTTCTTTATGTGTCAGATCCCTCTAGGTCAATCCGCTATCCTTCCTACAGAGATCTGCAAAGATTTCTAGAAGAAAGTGCTGAATCAACCAATTCCACAGCTTGTGATGAGGTCTGCCAGCTTAAATCATCTCTTTTGGAAGGAATTTTTGTGGTAAGCTTCTTTGTCCATTTTTTCAAGTGCGGTAGCTCGATGACTTAGGAGTGCCTTGTTTTTAATTCCTTTTTTTTATGTATGAATTCTATGGTACCAAAACTATACTCTCTTTGGGCCTGCTTGTGTAAGTTGCTGTCTGTCTCTAACCCCAGGCCTCCAGTTTTAACAATAGGAGTATGATAATATCATGACATTTAGTAGCATCCTGTGATCCTGTAATATTTCAGCATTCTCAGCCTCCCTCGACTTGGGAGGTCTTAGACATTTATTGCATTTCCTCCCTTACAAATTATGTAATTGGTTAAATTTAGTTTCTTACAAATTTTAGCCAGTCTTATGTGACAGCATTTCCTTGTAGAAATGTCGTTCAAACTAATATTTCAAAACATGATAATAATGCTATAGTATTTTTAAACCGATGCATATGTCGAGCAAAACTCTTAAAATACTTAGAAGTTGTCTAAGAATCCTCCCCCACCCCCTCCCTGGCTGTCAGTCCCTCATGGATTTACATGAAGTATTACAATTCAAATGTCCTATAAAAGAGATATGTAATATCTAAATAACTATCATCTTCCATTTATACTTGGTATTCCGTGCAATATGTAACCAAGTAACATGTCATATCAAAACAGACAGACACGAAGGGAGTTTAGAGTTGGTGGCTGTCGAGTGTGATTTATCTTATTCTGATATGATTGTTATTTGTGATAATCCAGGGTATAGTTTTGCTAATAATTTTGATATCGGGCCTTTGCTGCATGATGGGAATCGACACCCCAACAAGATTTGAGACGCCACAAGAGTAATGATCCGTTTGTCGATGCTAGAAGTTGTTGTGATGCTTGGTCTACTGGATTAAAATATTACGTCGTATTATTTGCGATTTTTACGGAGGCTCTGATAAGTGCTTTGTAGTTGATGACTTATCTCTGGAACTTTTCATATTGAATTTTAAAATAATTTGTATCAGTATATAAAAATAAAACTTCAATGTTAGGTTTAATTTTGATCCCGTTACCACTAGTTGTAAAATTTGAAGAATTTTCAGATTATGTGATGTATTGTTTTTACTGAAAAGTTGATCCACAAATGAAGTTTAAAGTTGATATAAAGAATGTTTAGCAAATGGTAAAATCTTGAATTAAATGTTGGGATGAAAATTAAAGCAATTAGAAAGTAGACAAGTGCAGACGAAGGAATTCTGGGTAAGGATCCAGATTGAGAGAATGTTATTAACAATTAACCTATATTATTAAGGAAGATATTTTAAGTTTAATTTAAATTTACAAAATCAGTTTAGAAAATAAGATTTGTATTGATTTGTGTACTATAAATTTATCTTTTGAGAGAGTGTTTTATTTTGGAGGCTGATATTTGTATTCATAAAACTAAATATTTATAAGATTAGGATAAAAGTTTTTAATTAATTTTAATATGTAAAGCAGATTTTAAATTTAATTAAATTTTATTAAATTGACTTGTAAATTTTTTTTATATTTATATTTAAATTGAATTATATAGTATAAATTTATTTTATCTCTATTTATTTAAAATTTATTATATCCACTTTAGAAAAGAAAATGAGACAGATGTTAAAAGTTTTAAGAGATTTGTTTGCATGCGTTTTGTTTCCTACTTTTTGGTTGAAACAAATAAAATACTTTGTAACACGTGTTTTATAATTCATTCTGCCCTATCGGTGGTTGTTGGTTCAATAAAGTTGCATATGTTTCTAATAACTATTTCAAAAAAAGTTTGTACATTTTCTATACTTGCACTTCAAATTACATTATGGCAATTTATTTCCTTTCAATGAACTTTCTTGTTACTTACTTAATCTCATAAAATTAATCTCTTCAGTTGAATTAATTGTTGGGTTATGTTAATTCAAAGTATATTTGATATAAGTCTTCAAGTTGAAGTACAATTTGAAGCCACAAAAAAGCTTTCAAACAAAATATCACGATTTATAGAGAAATTGAGAAACTACATATTAAAAAGAGTTTTCGTGATGGATAAAATATTTAAGCTGAAAAAAAAGCTATGATTAAAAATTACTTTATTTATGTCTTCTATATACCTATGAAAGTAAAGAAAAAAATTAAATTATATTATTATTTATGATTGGTTGAAAGTATAAAAGATCTGAAAAAGTATATGTACGTTTTAGACTACTTTTCAATTAACAGATTTTTGCATAAAGACTACTTTTTCAATTGACAAAAGAGACTTTTTGTCTGAAGTGAAAAGATTACCAAAAAGGGGTTTTTCTTTACCATCATACTTTAATAAAATATTAGTCTTCTAAAGGAACACTGCTCCTTATAATTAAGCTGCTCATTACTAATTTTAGGGTGTGATATATATATATATATATATATATATATATATATATATATATATTTATTTATATTGAAGAATAATGTCTTAGAATGTTTTGATAAGGGACATGAAATTTATATTTTTAAAATAGCATAACCTAGTGAAGGAATTAGATTTAGGTTGCTTTGCAAATATCTTAGTTATGGCAACGTGTCTATGAAGATACCAAGTCATAAATAACATCTACCACCAAATAGAAGACAAAAGACTATAGAATTACAAGACATTGAATAGTTATCTGTAAATAAATTTGTTTAAAGTCGAAATATAAATATTCAAAAAAATAAAAACAAATTATACGAACTTGAGATTTTACCTTAACATGTAATATAAAATAAACTCAGCAGTTCAAAATTTAGAAATACTTTGCATGTCTGTTGGATCTATTTTTCCAATTTATTTTTCGGATAGATTTAGAAAAAAAATATTTATAATTAATTTATCAAAAGAAAATTAAACACCATATTTTTATTGAATGTAGGAAAATTTTACAGGAAAGCATTCATTAGGAGTAGACTGAGTTAATTATAGAAGTAAAATTTATATTTTTAGTAATTAGTTGAAAATTATTTTGTATGCACTCTTAATAATTTAAGAAATTGAAATTTTATATTTATATATACTCTTAATATTTTTTATATTTTAAATTAATTAAATCATTTTATATAAATTTCAATTAACTATCATACAAATAAACCATATGTCAGATTTCACAAGTTCAGATAATAACATAACCATTATCCATTAGCAAAATTTTCAAAATTATCCTTTCACAATTCCGAGAATCAGACAACCCCACATATAATATGTAACTAGAAGATAGTAAGTTTATTTTTAAGTAAATGAAATAATGTAATTTTTGTCCGTTTCAATAAAATATTTATAACTTTTTATTACTATTTTCATTTTATATCACAATATATATAGTCTTTGGTACTTAATACAAATATAAAAGGTAAAAAAGAAGTAATTTAATGTTTAAATTAAAAAAATAAATAGAAATTATTTTAAAAAATAATATTATTAAAAAATGAATAATGGTAACGTGACGTATATCTATATTCATTTAATATACTTAACAAAAATAAAATAGTTATAGAAAAAAGTGAATTTTTGTAATTTAAAAAAACAAAAAAGAATAATATCAAATAAAATGAAAAAAATTATGTATGTTAAAATATCATTTTTCTTATAAATTTTAGAAGGAAGGAGTATTATAAAGAAGTTTATGAAAAGATGTAACTAAAAGTTAAAGGGATGTGGAAACTGACAGCAGCATTCATGGTGGTGCCATGAGAAAGCATGGTATACATGTACGCAGCTGTAACTCTCACATTAATTTCCCTTACTTGCCACCTGTGTGCCTCTGATCTGTGCATCTTCAATCCAATCAATAACTTCTTCTTCCTTTCTCTCTCTCACAGCATTAATGGTTAGTTGTTTGGTATTTGTTGCCAATCAATCTATCTGTGTTTTCTTTTTTTTCCTATAACACCTATCTATCTATCTTCCTTAACTTCATTTTATGTGAAGTTCCAATCTTTTTAGGTCAAACTTCCATATCTGTAGCTGCATATCACCATGGAGATTGAGGCAGCAGCAGCAGCCACCGACCGGAACAAAGGCTTCAACTGGGGTGCTGCTGCTACTGAAACTCAGAGGGATCTCCCATACACAGGCTTTGACAGAGGAAGCTTCTTGGCTTGGCAAGATCTCAGAGTTGTGCTTCCAAACTTTGGAAAAGGACCCACCAAGAGATTGCTCAATGGCCTCAATGGCTATGCTGAGCCTGGCCGAATCATGGCCATCATGGGTCCTTCTGGCTCTGGAAAATCTACCCTTCTTGATGCACTTGCAGGTACTTTTATATATATATACACCGATTACTACATCATGTAGAAGTTTAAAGTTTCATTTAAACATCTAATAGTTTGACTTGGCATTGAAACAATATCCATATCTCATGTCACACCGTTTTGTTCTGCTAACATCGTGTGTTCAAGTGCATGGTTCGCCTTCACTGTTTCTCAAAAACAAAGTTATCTTTTTGAGGAAAAGAAAGACCTTTAGTTTCTGTCTACTAACTGCTTCTGGTGTGCAAATTCTTTTAATCAAATGGGGTAGCTCGATATTGGGACTTACATCTTTCCATATTGAGATTCACTTTTGGTTGAATTTGCTAAGTTGAATTTTTGTTTCGTGACTTAAAAATCTTGTGGCAAGATGGGCCATTGTTTTTAATGGTTTGGTCGGTGGTGGGGTACGCTGTTATCTCCAACTAATTTCCTGTGAAGAAATCTCAAGTATTGCTGTTCTTATACTGATATTTAAATAATCATGTTTGCTGTTCAAATAATGACAAAGAAAAGAGAAATTTTCAAGGTTCTTGTTTTGACAGAATGATGGAAAAGTCTTTCAATCATAGCAGCTTCGTGGGGTTTATTATTTAATTCTTCATTCATTAAGTTTGGAACTTTGTGATAGTTGACACTGAAAAGGACAATATAGTGGATGGCTCCCTATCCATTATGGTAGGCGAGTCTTCAATTTTGGTGGTTGGAAGGGTGAGATTGAAATTGCATATTAAAGAGTATAACCACCACTATAAGTCTATAACCTACCTCACTGATTTTGAAGGCTTATTTAAAGAATATGACACTCTAGTTTGGTTATGATATAGTATGCCACATGAAAAAACTTTCACTAAAAGAGGAAAAGTAGATGATTATACCACTTTAGCAATTACAAACTTCCATGTATAAATTAACGTAACACAGTTTTAGCCCTGTGGCCCTTGCTGGGACAACTGGGTAGAAAGTTTTCTGCATTTCTTCGAACATTCATAAGCCTTAATTCGATGACCTCAGTTGAAAACTTACCCATGGAATTAATTATTGGTTTCCTATAATTTACTGATTAAAATATAAGTTGGTTTGATTAATTTAACTTCATATATACATATATATATAAGTAGTAACTATAAAATTGTCATTTCTAATATTTTATTAACAAAATACAATAAATAAGAATCATAATATATACTGTATGATAAAATTTTACGTTCACAAATAGTCTGATATATGACTTCTAGGTTAATTATTATAAAGATCAATAAATTAGTGCTTGTGTGTGTATATATAATAATAGTAATAGATAACAATTTTTTTATGAGCTGATAACGTATTTTATATACTTATTTTTATATTTCTGCAAAATTTCATCCACTACAAAATAAAATCAAACACTTTTTAATTAAAAAAAATATTAATTGTATTTTTTTGTCTTTAAAAGGAAGACGTGTATTTTTTTTTTTAGTCTGATAATATCCTGAGAAAAATAAAATTAATAGTGTTATATTTCCGCTCTTATGATATACAATACCTCAACTTATGTTACGTATTTATATTTAATATCAATAAAGTATTTAACATATAAAATAATAATACTTTTATGTTAATAATAATTTATAATTTTTCATTTTGATAATATCTAATATATTTGATTTAAATTTTAATTTACACAATAACAATCATATTTATTATATTTTTATATATTTCTTAATCTACATATATTATATATTGTATCACATTATTTTGAAAATCAACTTATCGGTGGTATTGGTGTATTAGATA